TTCGATGGACACGACAGCCCCAAAAAATTTTTGTACACACCTTCTGCGCCAAAGTGAGGCACTGCTTCACCATGCTCAGCAGCTGTCAGCAATGCCACCAAGTAGAAATGTGAAACACTGATGTCTGTCTCCTTTGACACCCATTCCAACGGATCTCCATGTTTGAAAGGAACTTTTTTCCTGGCTCTGCTCTCTCTAGTTGACAAAACTCGGTGGAGGAAGCCTGCAAGCTCCATTTCCAAAAGCACCTCATACGTTGTCATATCCAAAGGCTTCACACCATCCGGAGGCCTTTTACATATGAACTCCCCCCCAGTAACCTGGACACAGGTCTCAACACACTGCGCCCCTTTGGGCGTGAATTTCACCAAGGACATCACTGTGCCTGAATCAGAAACCTGCTGCACTTCCTGGATCATTTCATCCCTAAACAGTTGATCTATCAGCTTCCGTGCACCTGGCAACGGCTTGCCAAGAAGGACGCCATCAGGCTTGTCCATCATCTTCAACAACAGAGATGGCACTGCTGCTCTCATGTCTTGTGTCAAAGTATGCAAATAATGCCAGGAAAATCTGAAGACAAGTTTCTTGTCGTCCTTTGGTGTCCATACACGGATGCTCTCCAAATCCTTCAAGCCCAGCAGCAAGGGGTTGAACACTAGCGGGACACGATCAGAGGCAACTGAAGAAATGTTCATGGGTGCGGTAGAAAGGATGACTTGCTGGTTGGCCACATCTACATCCAAAACTGTGTGAGCGGACACTGCCAGACACCCAGAAAGGCTTTGCTCTCCTGGCACCTTTTCTCGCTTCGCCATGGCCACATTCTTACCACTGTCTTGCAATTTCCAAAACACAAGTTTTTTCACCCGATCTGGCACAGACGGTCCATACTCATTTTCAAAATCAGCCTTGTGAAAAACCGTGCCCCCATTGTCAAGTCCAGAAGCTATGTCGCCGAAAGCCAAAGTAGATTCTGGAACAATCCCGTTTTGCCGCGGCAGCAGCAACTCCTTCAAAGTTCTCAAGGCGCCACTGGACACTGGGACAGAGAAGAAACTCTGCGCAGGTGACCCCCGAAGTTTTGCACGGACATGCCTCTGGGCAAGGTCTTGCCGGAGGCATTTGTCACTGTCTATTGCTGTGGCCAAATCATGCCCAGAGGAATGCTTATCCAGAGAGAGATCTGGCGCTGCCATGCAATACTTGACATATGGATCTGCGTGGTAAACAATTCTGGTGTATGCTGGGTCACGGCAATGCTTCGCAGTCTTACTGTCTGGATGACAATCCAAATTCAACCGGCTCACAGCTGTCAAACCTGAACGAGTTGTTTGAACTTGCTCTGCCATGTCTGTGATGCACCCTGGGTTATATCGTAACGCTAGTTTGATTTCACCAACCCGATGTAACAAGGAAACATATGGGCAACCATGGTGTGGAGCACGCTTCACCTCTTTTGCTACGGCTGCGTGTTTTCCTTCGATCCTTCTTTCAACAACTGAAGCCATACGGCAAGTGGCAAAATATGTGCGCAAATTACTCAAGTACTTCGGATCGTCACTGCAGAAGAAAGCAAGTGGGTCTGCCAGGAACTGGGTAATCTCATCCTGGACATGGTCCTGTTTGGCAAATTCCACCAACGGGTGTGAGCACTCACATGCTAACAAGTCTTGCAAAATCTGCTTGCTTGTCTCAACATCCTGACAAGACGCTCCAAATGTCAACCATGGAAAAGCTTCCCAATGGCTCAGTTTCAAAGCCATTTGAAAAAGGACATGGCTCCTGCCATTTTCAAAATCAGAGATGATTGTCAAACGCTCAGCCTCGGTGATGGTTGGTGGCAGGTTCATAACGAGTCTTGCTGCATTGATTTCGCACATTTCCTGCACGATGGAATGGAACTTGCCGGAAGCCAAGTCCGCTGCACGCCGCCCTCTCATAGGGCAATCACCACACAAGCGCTTCAGTTCTGTTGGAAGATCAGCTGAGCGGTCTTCCATCAAACTCCAATGGCAAGGGCAACCTTCCGCCCATGAGATGAGGCGAATCTGCATTGAAGCAAAAGTAGACAGCATGTGCAGGAACGCCCAAAAGAACGGATCAGAAATTGCGTTGCTGGCAGCCTCCAAATTCACAGAGCCAGCTCTTGTCTCTGCGCCCTGCCCTTGTACAACCTGGCCATCGCCCTCCCCAGGCGCTGTTGCACAGTTTATGTATCTTTCTAAACTCCACATGTGCCGCAGCGACCCCTCACATTGAAGAATCTGCAGAGTGCAGTCAGACACTGTACCCCAACGTTCTTCATAGACATGCCCACAAAAAGCTTTGATGTCATGTGACAAGCCCTGACCCAGAGGCCCTTGGAAACATGTCTTCAGCAAACGTTCCTTGGACTCTGGCTGCCTCATCAGATCAGCCACGTGCTTCAATTGGCTTACAGTATCAGAGAAATTGGTCATGCAGCTGCCCAAGCCCAAGAAAGCATTGTGCAAAATGTGCAAGAGGCCTGGAATGGCCACGCTGTTTTCACAACCAATGGACACTTCCGGAGCTGATCCCCCGGGAAGGTCCGACGACAAATCCACTTCCTCATGCCAGTTGGCCAACTTCTGGGCCTCCGACTCGGCAATGTACGGCATCACTGTCTTGAATGGTGTCTTGCAAATGTGAGCAAACCCAGATTCAGTTCCAAGGTAGGAGACCCAAGTGCAAATGGAATCCATGAACTTTTGCAGGTTCTCACTTGGCCCTGCCATCAAATACAAAGCGTGGACGACAGCATGGAATTTCAAGGTCATGCTGCTGCGGCCTTTGCCCATCCCAAGCAAGACAGCAGGAGGTGTAAACACATGACAGCAATCTTTGATCTTTTTCATCAAAGCAACTTCATCGTCAATCGTGCACAAACGCTCGGGGACCGAAAGGCGGGCCCGTCTTTCCAATGCCATAATGTCAACATGCAACTGGGCCAAGTCAGGTTTGTGCAGAACAGTGACATGCATGAGCTCATAGTCACGCCCACCTTGTGGGCTTGAATCAGCCATGCAATAGGCAACAATACCAGATTGCATCATCTCTGCTAATTTCTTCCGGACCAAAATCATCCAAGCGACGTCAACTTTCAATCGTAGGCGCGTGACAGGTGCCGCTGAAGGCATGGGACGCCGTTTGTCGTCTAACATGCCTACAACTACACTCTGAATGTGCTGGGGCAGCACCACCATACAAGCATGCCTAACAGCTTCTTCTAGAGATGAATCAGAGCGGAGCAAGTTGCAGAGGAGAAAACAATGGAGCAAATAAAATACATTGTACACGTCCCTCCCGGCCCGAAGAACACTGGCATCAGTGCCATAGGCTGCGTGCATACCAGCAACATGCTGACCCATTGAAGCGGCAATGGTGTGCATCTGCTGGAGCATCTCCTGGCCACGTTCGCCATGGTCCCTCTCCATCTCATCACGGACCAATTTAAAAATCCCTTGCAGCTGGCGGGCAAATCCAGAAGCAGTCTCTGGGGAAACAATGTTTTGAATTGGTGGCATGGGAAATCGTACTTGTGGAAACTCATTTTGTGCCCAAATAGTAGGGCAAGCCCCCAAACCCCAACCTTTGAAGATGGAGACTCGCATGTCGCACACACAAAAGCGCGACCAAGCACCATGCGCACAGAGGTATGCCACAGGTTTCGGCAAGTGGGCCAAAAACTCTGCCTGACCAAGTTGAATTTTTTGACTCAACCATGGAGGCACAATAATGTGGGCCTCATCCAAAAGAGTCATCAACCGATCTAGCTGCCCTTCCTGCATTTCAGAGAAAAAATTTGTAGACCTCCGTGACCCAACGCGTTGTACAGGCATCGCTGCTGGCAACATCAAACACCCCCTAATGAAAAAGGAAGCAAGCAAACCATGCAAGCTGACATCTGGGGAGTGCAGCGTTTGGAAGAAGTCGCATTGCAATTGTTCTTCCTTTGTCAGCTCCTGCAAGGCATCGAAAACAAAAGCTGGCTCAACCAACGCCACGCCCACAACCTGGTCAGCTGGCATTTCCTCCACCTGCAGCCCATTGTTTTCACACTCCTGCAAAATCTCAAGGGTGTTTGCTGCCTGGTTTATGTTGCAGAGTCGCTTTTGAAAAACTTTCCCAGTGTCTCTGATTTTTTCTCTCAGCTTGAAGCGTGTATCTGGCGCAGTGGCGATCCATACAACTCGTGTCTGTGCACACGCTGCTGGGGCAGCTGCCATGCAAGCAATGCAAGCTATGACATGGCACAAAAGCAGCCACATTGAAGTTGGGAATCTTTGCTTACACAAAAAAAAACTTGTAGCGCAGACATGCACGGTTGTAAACATTCTTGGCCCCAAATGCACATGAGGAAACAGAAGCTCGTGAAGTTTACTTTCAAATGACTACAGCTTGCGTTTCTGAGTCTGGTTATTTTTTTAAAAAAAAGGGGATAACCATTAGGAATGTCCTTTTTTATGTGGTCAACCTCGTTTACATTTCAATACCTTGAGCTGACATGGCCTAAAACATGCAATCGCACTGATAATCGTACACATCAAAAAACTGAGCTGAAACCCTGTGCAACAGCAAACGGTGCCAGTCAAGACAAATGGTTCCCCCACGTCCTTGTCTGGCCCCCCCCTTTAGTTGGCTTGGGGGTCCCAAAATTTGCAGAAGAGAAGGTCTGCGATACTCTTGTCCCACATGTTCAGCACATGAGCTTGCAAACAATTCCAACTCAGCTGATAACAAGTCGGAGTAGTCTGCTTTTAAAATAAGGCAATTTGGTCTTTGTTGCCGTCTTCAAACGTTTCAAGTTTCTACCAGAATGAATTTGGCAGGACAGCATTGCAAAAGTGAAACAGACTACATTGACTACAAGTGCAACTTCAAAATTATGTTTCACACTGCAATTTGGAGATGATGATTCACAGCATCAATGCAAAACCCAAACAGCCTTCACAGAACCCAGTTTTCAAACGTTTTTTTCACTGCATGCCATGTTGGAATCCATCAAGTTCCGTGAGATCCCAGGGCCCTGCCTCTTCCAAAACATTGGGAAAGCCAATGCGCGCCTCATAGTCATCCGCCAAAGCAGAACTGCAGACCTGCAAAAACTTCATCGAGTAAAGATGGTGGACTTCAAGGCCACCTTGGTCACAGTCTTTGTGGCCTTGTACTTCCTCAGAGTGGCAAGGCCGCGGTGGCGTCCAACGAAAACAATTTGTTTCTGCAAACCTTTCACCTGCAATCGTTTTTTCTTCAACTCACGCCTCAGTTTGGGCAGTTCTCTCAGGATTTGTTGGACCAACACTTCCAACCGACGAAGTTTGTCCAACTGGGTGTGAGCAAATGAGAGCGATTGACCCAAAAGACTGGCATGCACATGGTTGAAAATACAAGCCTGAGGGAGAGCTGGGTGTGAAGCTGCAGTGGGATTGAACTTTCTGGCCCAGTCACTGCGAGCATCACACACAGCCTCATCACTGCTGCCTACAACGCTGCTCGGACTGTCAGGGGCTTCGAGAGAGCTGCTCTGAGTATCCCACTCCGAGCACTCCCAGGAGCAAGAATCCGGCTGCGACCGAACGCCGCTGGAAAGGTTTGAGACAGACCCTGGCATGATAGGCTCTCTCTGCAAATTCACTGTCAGCAAACGCCTAAAGCTTTTCTACAAACGATCTAGATCTACAGCAAACAAAATCAAAACATGACATGAGCCCCAAACGGCTGCGGATGTGAGCAAAACAGGATTGAGACGAAGGATTGCCACTCCAACAGTGCAACTCTTGCGAGGGGAAACATCCCAAATAAAACTATCACAATCTGCAACTCTTGTGAGGGGAAAACATCCCAAATAAAACTATCACAATCACAAACAGTAGGCTTCTGAACTGACTGAACCTGTCTTGTGACAAAACCTCGTTCACTTGCAAGTGCAGATTGCTTCTGTTTGTGTTCCGGACTGCTCCTGACAGGCCTAGTAAGCCACATCTGCCACATTTTACTCACTGGACCGGGTTGCAATGCCTTCAAAAAAAATCGAGCACAATCAGTGCTTTGAAATCCTTGGCGTTGAAGGACTCCAAAACTTCGAAGTTCAAGTCCGTTGGTTTGCGAGAAATCTTCAGCATCTAGAAAAAAGTGTTTCAATTCCACCTTCGTGTCTCTGAATCCAGGAGGAAAAAGATATCTTACAAAGCAACTTCACAACCCCAACTTGATAACTCAGCAAAGCATTTGACAATCACAGTTTTGATCTTCCACAAATGGAAAAAAAACATCGTTGATACCAATTTGTTTGTTCCATGCGTTAATCAAAAAAAGGAATTGTTTCAATTGTTTCAAATTTGGTGTTAAAAATTTGGTGTCCGAAAACTCCAGTTTGGGACCTGCTGCCACGTACTTATACCCATTTTGATCATCAAAACAAAAACAATTTAGTTGCCATGTTGTTTTGGACCTTGAGCCTTGAGCCTTGAACCTTGAGCCAACTTGAGCCTTGAGCCAACTTGAGCCTTGAACCTTAAGCCAACTTGAGCCTTGAGCCAACTTGAGCCTTGAGCCTTGAGCCCTGAGCCAGCTTGAGGCTTGTAACGCTTTGCAGCTCTGCAGCAAAAATGAAAGTTTCACGTGACCATCTGATCAATCATGATCAGTCTCTGTTTCCTTCGAATGAACCACGGACATGATGGTTTGGTAAAGCTCCAGCAAGATGTTCACAAAAAGGATGGAAGAAAACAAACACAATCCAAGAGCATGTGTTCACAGCTGTGCAGAAAGCCTGGAGACGAACCCGCCAAACCCGAAGCAAACAGGAAAATTACCAATGTGGCCATGTTTGCTTCTGAAATATTGTGCCTGCGACGGAGTTGTTAGCTGCCAAAGTACTGCGCCTGCCACGGGCTTAAGCTTTCGAAATATTGGACCTGCCGCTTTAAGAGATCTGTTGAATACACCCCGCTCCCCAGCGGCAATGCTGCGTCAGTGTGAGATGGACTGAAGCTGTCATATGCTTCTTTGCAGCGTTCCACAGTTGCCGCCGGGGTTGTCTTGTGTTATGGGCCTGCGTAACATGACACATACGTTGTCATCTGCATGCGCCGAGATGATACTAAGCTATCACCTCTTGCCTCAACAGATCTTTTTCACCCATAACTGGAACCTGTCACGTCACTGCTGTGTGGTTGTGTGTTTTTTGTTTGTTTGTGTTTTGTGTGGTTTGTTTTTGCTTGTGCTTGTTTTTTGTGTTGTTTTTGCTTTTGGTTCTTTGTGTTTCGGCTTTGTTCTTTTGAACGTGACCAGGGAATAGGACTATGTATCGGTCCTCTACCATTGGCCATGGGCATCGTACAGCCGCATATACCTGTTCGCCGCATGGCCAGCGAGCGCAAAACGAAGCTGACCGATGCACTAGTCAGAATCTTGAGTCGGTTCCTGACACCAGCCACGATCTCGATGGAAGGGGCCCATGACAGTTATTACCGTGAGTACCTCCTTCCTCTAGCAGCCCACGGTGATGGACATGTCTTAACGGTCTCAATTGCACTGTTGCTGGCTATTCTGACAGGTCGATCCGACTTATGTATTGCAGGGGTCTTTGGTGCTGGCAAAGCGCGGTCCCTTGCGGTCTTGCTCATTGCACTGAGCTGTGAACTCAAGGACTTTGTTGCGATCGTCTATACGAAAGAAAATGTAGCTGCCAAAAGCACTTGCGGATCAATTAAGTGATCTCGCGCCCCCCACAATCAGGAGCTTCGGTAGGCTAATTGGTCGCATGGAAGAAGGTAAAGGAGAAGCATATGCCTCCAAAATTGACGTCCGGTGCAGTGACCGTAATAAAATCATCGCGTACAAGAATGTGCTCATTGCAACAGGTGGCTCAGCTACGGCTGAAATGGCAATGCGTTTTCCACTTTTGGTCATTGGATCTCTCGCACCTGGCCAGCTTTCATGGACGAAAGCCAACAGTATGGCAACTACCATGAGATCGCAGCTCTCGCTGCCATTCAACAACCAACTCTCACTGTCTTCATTGGCGATCACGGGCAAACTCCAGGAGGGCTGTCAAAAGGTCGAGCAGCGGCTGCCAATCGACGCAAACTGCTGCAACGGCCGTTAGGGCTCAGAACGCTTGATAGGCCAGGAGATTATCTTCCACCGGCACGAATGGCAGCACTTGTAGCTCAGCTTTGGCCTGATGCGAGCCAAGATCCGGAGTCAGATCTCTTTAGTCTGCTGAGAGTTGCAAACAAGCCGCATAGTGGCCCATGGACATCCACTCTGCAAGACTACGAGCTGCCTGTCGCCCAAGAGCGGGTGTTTCACTGCCGAATCTCGTGCCAGCTGGATGCATACAGCAGCCTAATTGCAGCAGCTCTAGAAGTCCTGCTGATTGCCACAGCACCAGAGGAGTTTGGAGCACCTGAGTGTACCACAACCCTTGAAGCAGCCGGGCTATGTGGTCCTCACCGTTGGGGTATCATTCTCCCTAACAGCTCACGGGTCTCAATGAGTTCAGACAGGATGGGCCGAAACCAGTTCGTGGCATACAGCAAGCATTCAGTTTCTGGGGTCTCCATGGATTCAACCAATCTCATCAAAGAGCTTATCGCCTGGGCGAGCTTCTCTGCCAAACGAATTGTGAGAGCCCTTGCCACCTGCAGGAGGACATCCTCCACCCTGGCAATTTGCCCGCGCAACACAGTTCACAGGCCACACTCAGCAAGATGCGCGCAAACTTTTCTTGGATGGCAGTCAAAGACAACGTCAATCTTGCCTGTGGCCACAACGATGGGAGAGCTCCAAGGTTTTCGGGTATGCAAAAAGGGTTTCCGTTGGGTTGGACATTAGAAATCAGGATTGCTAGCTGGTCAGCTGCACTTGCAATCTCATCTTCAGAGGGATCTTCAGCTGCATCAGGTATGGGTGGGCACCATGCAACTGTGGGGTCTTCTGGATCACTCTCGTCATCGGTGGAGGCTGCTTCCTCATCCGAGGGGTCACTCACTGTGTCTCCTGCACCCTCGGGGCTCGCGAGTTTCATAGACTCTGGATCAATCTGGCGATCCAATGTGTCTAAGAGGTCCGGTTGCAACCGATGGGCATCGAAATAATGAACACCTGGTATTACGAGTTGCCGATCCTGTATACCCACATGAAAGAAGACCTTGTGGCCTCGATGTCGATGAACAAGTGCTGGGGACCCATTATAGGCTGCACACAGCCAAAGAGGAGATCTGTAACCATTAGCAGCACAACCATACAAGTATTCACGATCAATCGAGCAGGGGAAAAAACCGCTGGTCGTCAGCACATGGTCACGTGTGCGAGACTCTGGCGCTGCAAGGACATTAAAGGGAAGACGCAACTTATCTCTGCATGCCACAACCAACCGATATCGTCGCCACATTCGCGTGCCATTGATGGTCACAATCATGGCAATAGCAAGAGGGGGTTTGTCTTGGGGAATAAAAGGTGCCCCTAATCCCCAGTCCAGTGTGCAATTTTGTCGCTGGGGTAGGTTGTAAGGCCATGATACTAAATGTCTCGGTCTTTCAATGTGACTCTTGTGAGCGCTACAGTTGCTCTCCCATAGCAGTCTTCACGTTCGTCTGCTGTTACATCTCTGCGTCCTCCACTGAGAAACCCACAGCCTGTTTGAACAATGATCTTAGCTGCGAGGTCGCTCCCTGTTGCAAGTTGCGACAATAATTATTCAGATAGGTGCAGAAAGCAACGACGTCCTCAACAGCAGCTCCTAGATCTTTAGGTGCATTCCACAGTACCGTCCGGAAACCTCCTTGTGCCACAGTGGACTCATGTGGCACGAAGTGTCCAATGTATATGTGATTGGGCTCGTGGAGGACTAACTCAGGATACTCCGAGAGAGCTCTGAGGTGAACCGGAGTCGAGCGCCGAGTGGCCCAGTTAAAGTCCTGGTCACAGATCGGGCATCGACGCATGACTGGGGCAGTGGACCTTACGAGTGTGCCTCTGCCCTACTGGCATGGTTCCCGGCCAGCTAGGCCAGCATCGCTCCCAAACTTCTCGAGAATGCTCCTGAGAATGCGCAGAAACCACAAGAAATCAACATCGCTTGCCCGAAACGTTCCTGTGACGAGACTCCGGTGGAGGGAGCAAAGCAGTTGCTCCAGGCAGTTAAATTTGCTGCCAAAAACATGCCTGGTTTTCGTCTTGGTTTGGATGAAGATTTTCAAATGGCTGGATGTTTCCAGGAGCTCATCCATGGATATACAACAGGGCTTGTTGAACCATACATGATGCGAGGTCTCCAACCACTGGGACCGAATCGCACTACTCCAGAAATTATCATTCCCTCTCAAGCAGGGCTGACACCCGAGAAGTGGAAAGAAACAGTCACACTGTGTCCACTTGATTGGCCTTCCAACTACAGTCTTTTGCGATTGTGGCATACCAATGGGAGCCTCCATCAAACGGAAGCGCGAGGAATCAACTGTCGCACAGCCATATGTTTGCTGAGTGGACAGTGCATCTCCACAGATTTGCAGAGCGTGTCTTATTCCAGCAACCTGCAGTTTATGTAGCGGGACATGCCTTGCAAACCAACCTGCGGGAACGAAACTTTCCAGACAGGAAAGT